ACACTAAAACCCATGTCCCAGGGTCATGAAATTCATAAATTTGGTAGAGGTACCCTAATCATCATAACTATGCACTTAATTGAAGATTTTCAAACATTTAACACATTTTCACTTTATTAATAAATATAGCCCCCCCCCCCCCCCCCCTTCGATAAACACCAAAACTTGAGACCACAAGTTTTTAAAAATTTTGTAAGAAGCACAATTGTTCATCATAACTATTCTCTTTGTTTATCTGCTCAACACTAAGGAACAGACAGGATTATTTAACAGAATTAATGCATTGTCACTATATTATCAATAGAGTCCCACCCTTACACTAGAACATCTGACTTCTAGGCCATGATTCATGAAGAAGCACTCCTGTTCATCATAACTACACACTTAGTTTACTTTATAACCAGGAGCAGAAATGAATATTTTCAAAGAAATTATGCTTTTTCACTATATAATCAATGGAGCCCCCAACCCCCAACCCCAGGACCATGAATTTTACAATTTTGGAAAAAGCATCCTTGTGCAACATAATCATGCACTTAGTTTGTTTAAATAATACCCAGGAGCAGAGAAGATTTTCAAAGAATTAATGCATTTTCACTATATAATCAATAGAGCCCTGCCCTAACACCAGAACCACTGACCCAGCGGCCATGAATTTCACAATTTTGGAAAAAGCATCATTGCTTGTCATAACCATGCACTTAGTTTGTTTCAATAATACCCAGGAGCAGAGAAGAAGATTTTCAAAGAATTAATGCATTTTCACTATATAATCAATAGAGCCCTGCCCTAACACCAGAACCACTGACCCATGAATTTCACAATTTTGGAAAAGGCATCATTGCTTGTCATAACCATGCACTTAGTTTGTTTCAATAATACCCAGGATCAGAGAAAAAGATTTTCAAAGAATTAATGCATTTTCACTATGTAATCAATAGTATCCCACCCTAGCACCAGAACCCCTAACCCTGGGGCCATGAATTTCACAATTTAGGTAGAGGACCCAATGCCTATTATTATCATGCTAACAGTTTGACTACTTGAAGTCCAGGAGTAAAGAAGAAGATTTTTAAAGATTGCATCAATTTTGATGGTTTTAGCCCCATCCCTGGGGCCCCAAGGGGGGGGGGAAGAACCATTAAATTCAAAATTTTAGTTCCTCTTCACCCAAAGATGTTATATACCAAAATTGGTTGAGCGGTTCTAGAAAAGAAGTTGAAAATGTTCAAAAGTTAACGCACAATGGACGACGTCCGACGACAGACAAAAATGGATAGCAATAGGTCACCTGAGTGACTCAAGTTACCTAAAAATAGGGTGACTAAAAAACAATTAGTCGTCCCAGCTTCCTTCCACTGACCATCAATTCCATTTTATGCAGAAACCACTTTGATACATTGAAAGGATAAAACCAATAAAGTTTTGAAAAGTTTGCTTTGTTAGTTACTGAGAAAAATGAAAATTTAAAAAAAAATCATCTTTTTCCTGTTTCCATGGCAACAATGGGCATTTAGAAATTTCTGAATGTCGACTGAACAAAAAGAGTGTCTAATCATAATTTCTGTAAATTTTCATCACAATTGTCCAAGCCACCACAGAAAACATCTGTGTGTATATTCACCTTTTTCTGTTTATTTCATTCCTAAGGCAACTGTTTGCAAAAGATTCTAATTTTTAAAATAGAAATTGACAAAATGTAAGGAACAATCCTTACAAGTTTCAAAATAATTGCCTGAGCAGGTTGTGAGAAAATTGAAGTTAAGCGGTTTTTACTTTTCTTCTGTTTCCATGGCAACAATGGGTGGTTTGAAAATTTTAAATGTGATTCGCACAAGTACATTTACTGTTTACCATTTATAATTTCTATGAAGATTCATTACGATTGTCTTGGGATCAGCGACAACACTTCAGGACAAAATTTGTCACTTTTTGTAGGTTTCCATGGCAACAGTAGCCATGTCGAAACTGAAAAATATTTTTCGCACAAATTCAGTTGGTCAACATCTTTTATGGAAAGTTTCAGCAACATTGCCCCAGCTATCTGCGAGAAAGTCCATGAACAATGTTTACATGTGTACAATAGCAATATGTCCTCCGACTTCATTCGGGGTGACATAATAAAATCCTTTTTTCACATATAAAAAAGAAACTTGATCAAGGTATAGATCTAAACAATAGCATTTCTGTCACAAGTCTGGCCATTAAAAACTTATAATTTTTTAATAATTAAGGTATAGATCTAAACACTAACATTTCCATCACAAGTCTGGCCATTAAAAACTATAATTTTTTGATTATGTATTTTTGGAAATCTTTTAGGAAGTACACATACACATGTACTTAATATTGTCTTTTTTCAAATAAAGTTCTACTAATAAAATTCTGACTTTTTTATGCATTTTTCTATTCTATTGTAACTTCAGAAAGAATAACTATAATATGTATATACAGTATAATATTACATTATGGTAAGTTGAATTTTTTCAAAAATTTCAATTTGCCTGACATTATTTTTGATGTCACCTACATGCACACAGACACATATACCATACCAATTTAAGAACTGTAAATAAAATTTTGCAAAGGTAACTCAATAGGTATGAAAAAGAAAGACTTGGAACTTATGAATCAAGAAGGTCTGTGATCCAATGCTAACTAGCAATACCCCTCTGAGGTGATATGCTCTTATGAATCCCACCATATGGCATGCCTAAACAGAGAGTGTGCTAAAATTTCAAGCATATGCGATGAGTAACTGCTGAGAAAACTGTGAAGAAAATTTGTTACAGACAGACACACAGACAGGCACACAAGAGTAAAACAGTGTACCCCCCTTTCCTTCAGAGCAGGGGTATAAATATGAAGCAAGTACTGTGGAATCATTTTAATTTGTGGGGTTCAATGCAGAGGCCTTTGGATCGCTTAAATCTGACTTAAAAAAATGTAGAGTGTATAAAAAAGATACAGGTATGGAACTTGTTTCTTCTTAAAATAAAGAAAAAAAAAGTTTTATTTTTTCAGCTTTAAAATAGTTTTTCATTATTTTTATATCCATCTAACACAGTGTATAATGTGGTTAGTTTTCATGGAAATATCTGGTTATGAAAGACGAGACAGAATTAATTATTTATGCCTTTTCTGGAAGAAACTTTAATAATGTAAATTTTCTTTGTTAATTATTAAAATTGCATAATATTTTAGCTTTTAAAAGATATCGTTTTAAAATTATCTTACATAAATAGAATTAATAATTTGATTGTTAAAATCGCATGATAATTTAGCATGTTAAAATTAAGATATAGTTTTAAGAATTTACATTGTTTTCCGAGGTGAAGATCCATCTTGAATCATTTCTTTGGAAAAAAAAACAACAAAAAACAGGTGCTCATCGCCGATAATTGTCATCATCCCGATAAGAGATGTGTAATTAATTAGTAGCCCAAAAATCTGCACAATTAACATACAATATACAAAATGTATACAAGATATATACATATTCCCAGCTCCTCCATACAACAGGTGAACTGGGTGTCCCAATTCGATTTCTACTAATGTATTGATTTTAAAACACATTTTATTCAACAAGATGTCGTGACGTAATGGACGTAATAGTGAACTGGGTGTCCCAATTCGATTTCTACAAATGTATTGATTTTAAAACACATTTTATTCAACAAGACATCGTGACGTAATGGATAATGTCACAAACTAACAAGTGGGAGGCCGCGGTTCAACCCCTGCCTTCTGCAAGAATTTTTTTCTCTTATATTCACTTTTTTTTCATTTTTTTATTCGGAAATAGATTAATTTAATGCCATTATAATAAGAAAACGTGAAGTAAAATTTCTAAGTTAAAAAATAAGCCCATTATTCAATAAAAAGATATAACTGAAAGATAACTGAAAGGCCACAGAAATGTATTTGCCAATCAGTCGACTGAATGGTAATCGAAAGATGAAAGACTGAATGGTGATCGAAAGACCATGGAAAAGTCAGGGGAAAGGATCTTTTCAGTGACCTTTCAGTGGCCATTCAGTTACCATTCCATTGACTGAATGGTGTAATTTCATTATGTGGTGGGCGTGGCTTAAAAAACACTGTGATTCTTCTAGCAAATATACCACAGCAACATCAAAGCAAAATCTAAATTTACCGCCAGTCCTATGGTACAAGTCCATATTAAATCCTTTCGCAAATAAATAATTAGAAAACGTCCGCTTCGACAACTGCACACAGCCATTTTGATTATAAATGTGAAAAGTTATGATGGAACGAAAATTTTCCCAGAATGCATCATATTTTTTTTTTTTTAAAAGTTAGACCCCTAAAATGTTGTTGGTAACTTAGTAAGACCTTTTGATCAAGTCATATAAAATTTTGTAGAGATTGATTGCTAAAAAGCAAATATTCAGTGAACATAGAGCAAATTCTGGGAAAAATTCTTCCCATATTACAATTTTTAGTGTAAATATTCAGAGGCCCAAGCTAATGTTGAGTAAAATAAATAACGTCAATTTTGGAATTGATTTCAGCATATCTCGGGATGTATACGGAATTTCGGGATGAACTTTGGTAGTAATGTAGGTTGTTTATATGTGGAAAGATATGAATAGAAAGAAAAGTTTTAGATCTTTCGATTTAAAAGTATTTTATTGGCAAAAGTGGGTACCCTATGAAATGAGTTCCATACCTTTATTTTTTCAAGTTGGATTAAAGCGATCTAAAGGCCTGTGGTTCCATTTATTACCGTTCGTTCTTAAGCAAAATTTTGTTGGTTCATGGGGACGTAATTTTGTAGGTAACTTGTATATTAAGATGATTCAATGAATAAATACATTGACCAAATAATTGTTCGTGGGGACGTAAATTCATGGATAAGGGTGACCCTCAAACATGATTCCATGGTAACCAATTAATACTGAAAAATCATTCTCATATTTTTTAAGGGATCTTAACCTGTTTTGATCAGACCATAATTCTCAACTTTCTCAACATACCTCTGTAAGCATCAGAAGAACACTGCGCTGAAGTGGGTTTAAACATGTGAACCTTATGTCTGGAATACAGGATACCACATGTGCACCAATGATTAACCGTTTCACTTCCTTGTCACCCATTCTAAAACATAGAAATTCCATAATAATATTGGCCATGGGCCAAAGTGGCCATCTGAGTGATCCACCCCCTCTTAACAAATGAAAGGAAAACAAAACAAGAGGCCCATGGGCCTGCTTACATTGGCTTAGAAAAAGCAGAAATCATTTCAGTGTTCAAAAGTTCATTTGTAAAACTTTAACTGCCCATTGTGGCCCCACCCTAACTTGAGGGTCAAGATTTGAACAAATTTGAATCCACACACTACTTGAGGATGCTTCCATAACAATGACTAAACATGGCTTTGCTGTTCTTGAGAAGAAGCTTTTTAAAGATTTTTCCATAATTATTCCTATTTAAAACTTAAATCCCCCATTATGGCCCCACCCTAACCTTGGGGGTCAAGATTTGAACAAATTTAAATCTACACCACCTGAGGATGCTTCTATATTAATATGACTAATCATTGCTTTGCTGTTATTGAACAGAAGATTTTTTTTACCTAAATACTCCTATGTAAAACTTTGATCACCTATTGTTGACCCATCCTACCCCCTGGGGTCATGATTTGAACAAACCTGAACTTACACTACCTGAGGATGCTTCAATAATTAAATGATTCATCATGATTGCGCTGTTCTTAAGAATAAAATTTTTAAAGATATTTCCTATATATTCTTATGTTAAACTCTTACCCTCTGTTGTGGCACTGCCCTACCCCAGGGGTCATAATTGGAACAAACTTGAATCTTCATTACCTGAGGACTAATCATTGCTTATCTGTTTTTGAAAACAAGATTTTTAGAGACATTTCCTAAATATTTCAATGCAAAACTTTGATCTCTTGTTGTGTCCCCACCCAATCTGAAGGGGTTCATAATTTCAACGAATTTGAATCTACACTACTTGAGGATGCCTCTACTAATGGCTTAGCTATGTTTGAGAAATGATTTTTAAAGACATTTACTATGTATGGACCTATGTAAAACTTGACCCCCTGTTGGGTACCTGCCCTACCCCTGGGGGTCATGATGTGAATAAACTGGTATCTTCTTCTCTGCTCCTGGGTATTAAATAAAGTAACTAAGTACATAGTTATGATCAGCAAGAGAGCCTCTTCCTAAATTGTGAAATTCATGGCCCCAGGGTCAGGGGTTCTGGTGTTAGGGCGGGGCTCTATTCACTATATAGTGAAAATGCATTAATTTTTTGAAAATATTCTTTTCCGCTACTGGAGATTATTTAAACAAACTAAGTGCATGGTTATGATGCATAAGGATGCCTTTTCAATAATTGTGAATTTCATGGCCCCAGGGTCAGGGGTTCTGGTGTTAGGGTGGGGCTCTATTGATTATATAGTGAAAATGCATTGATTCTTTGAAAATCTTCTTCTCTGCTATTGGAGATTATTTAAACAAGCTAAGTGCATGATTATGATAGGCAAGGATGCCTCTTCCAAAATTTTTAAATATATGGAATCAGTTTTTGGGGTTCTTGAGGAGGGGGGGGGGGCTCTATTGATTATATAGTGAAAAAACATTAATTCTATTAATTAATCATTAATGAATCCAGTCTGCTCCTTAGTGTTGAGCTGATAAATAAATTGCTTAGCTATGATGAGAATCGGAGCTTCGAACAGAATTTTTAAATCTTGTGGTCCTAGGGTCAGGGGTTCTGGCATAACGGGGGGGGGGGGGGGGGGGGGGGGGGCTTTTGATAATATATGGAAAAGTGTTAATTCTTTGAAGTCCATAGTTATGATGATGAGGGTAACTCTTCCAAATCTGTAAATTTCTTGACCCTTGGTCTTGGGTTCTGGTGTTAGGCTAAGGCTTTGTTGAACCTGTAGTGAAAATGCATTGTACCTGTGAAATTCTTCTCTGCTTCTGGGCATATCAGAAGCAAAGTGAGTAAAAGTTTAAATGATATAAGTAAGCGTATTTCTACCAGATTTTTGAACATCTGGACCATTTGTCTAAGCATTCTGGTCCTCGGCAGGGCTCTATTAATTTGTATTCTACTGAGAGAAGTTATTCCCCTTTTCCATTCACCTTTGATAATTAATCACTGTAAATAATGTATTTGAAAGGTTAATAGAATAAGATAATTATGCAAGAATGTTTATCGTATAATTCAAAAAGTACTTTCTTAGTTTTAATAATCAGGTAGACCTGAAAATAATAGATAAATAAAAATGAGACAAAAATAACTTATCTTATTAAAAGTTCTTCAAAGACCATAAGAGGGGTCAATGCTAGAGGTCTTAATATGGGTTTAAAATAGACTAGTACAGAAGCACTAATAGTTTGTTTATAGTCTGCATGGTGATAGTGTTAAGTGGGGGACAGATTTGAACTTAAAGTTACACAGCGAGTCAATATCATGTGTTTCTTTTAAGATAATTGTATCATAAAGCTAAAGATTTATGAGAAATATGAATAAGGCGAAGTTTTGAGATCTCAACTGCACGGTAAAGGCAAGAAAAGACTGCAGAATGTAAGTGCCGGAAAAAGAAAAGTTGTATCTATGGCTTGGTTGTTATCATCAATGACAGCATATGTCAAGGTCATGTGTCTTTTATTTTTAGCATGAAACTTGTAAACAACATTGAATTGGAGCAATCAAAAGTGAGGAATAAGTTCTGATCATTTTTTTTTTTGAAGATTATATAAAAAATCCTCGGTCATCCGACATTTATATCCGTGGAATTGACACCATGGTAACTTCTTCAACTTTTCTGCGCATGCGTACCTTAAAGAGGAAGAAGTGAAGCAATTTTCATGTTGGGGCAAACTAAAATTATTTTTACTTATATTTTTTCCATAAAAGTAGATTTTTTAGGTTCTGAAACCTGTAATTTTCTGAAACCTAATACTTTCGAGAATTGAATAAAATTTGCATGTGTCTTGCAAAAATTCTACTTTTGTCAATTTTCCCGTTTTTCCATCACGGTGTCTATTTAATTTATGAGTTGATACTGAATACTAGACTAATTATTTTGTTGATCCTGATCTTCCTACTTCTCTTGCTTTAGGGCAACAAAGCTTCATCTATCAGTGTATTTAACTTCTAAATTGTTGTATTATACTCAGGTGACTGTTAAGGCCCTTGGGCCTCTTGTTAATAAATATGTTTTATGGCCCCAAGATGCATCATAATTCAAGATTTAATGATTATAAACCTCTCAGTATTCGAATTAATGACCTTAAATGTTTTGAAAAGGATTAGCAATAAATTCAGAAAGTAGGTAAAGGTGACCTACTTTAAGTTGACGTACTCTGAGGACCCAAGATACAACAACTGACAAAGTTTGATAAGTCTGAGGAGCATAGGCCTTAAATTGTTCAAAATATGCCTCTATATCATTTTGAAAAAGAATGACTGCAAAATTTAAAAAGTAATTTTTAAAAAATTTAAAAAGTAGGTCATCATGACCTACTAATGGATGATAAATTTAGGGTTCTCACTCTTTGCATATGTTTTTTAGTTCTTCTATTCTTTAATTGGAATGACAAATACATTTAACTTTCAAAATTGGATTGAGATTGGTATGCTTTGCATTATCTGCAACACCTTGCTGTCCCAGTCAGACGACCGAACACACCTCTAATTTTGAAGAGTTCACTAATGGAAACAGAACGTATTGGAGACCAAGGGAGTAGACTTAGATGATATGGTATTTCATTGTGGTTATGCTTTAGGCTAATTATTAGAAAAATGCCAACATCTTGACCGCTTGACGTCCAATATTTTTAAAGATAGAACAGATTTTGATGGCTTTAGACCTAACCCTAAGGCCCCCAAAGTTTATAACCCCAAAGTTTATACAAAAGAAAAAACTGTAATCATGATGCAAAATTTTCAATAATTAATTAATATCTTTTTAATGACTTTTATATTTGTAAGGACTATATCTACCATGAAACTAAATTTTGATAGTTTTAAGCTAAAATTAACTTTTTTTCCCAACAGATTGGTAAGTTTCTTGTTCCTATGTATCAAAACTATACATGAAACAAAAATCACTAAGTAAACAAGCATTCTGAGAGTATTGAATTAGCAATACTAGTCCCCTATTGGCAAGTGTAATCTGGGTACCATTAAAAATTGAAAATGCCATAATTCCGTCAAAAAATCATTGAAGCAAAACAAAATCCATATTTGGTCTTCAACTCATCAAGGTAAACTCACATACAAAAATCAGTTCAATATCTGCAAGCATTTAGAAAAAAAATTAAGAAAAACCCTTAAAAATTAAAAAGGCTATAATTCTGTCAAAAATCATTGAAGCAGAACGAAATCCAAATTTGATCTGTAACTCATAAAGATACCATCACCCACCAAAAATCAGCTCAAATCTGCAAGCATTTAGAAAAAAAATGCGGAAAAACAAATTGGACTGACTGACAGACAGAGGGACAGCTAGACAGAAGGATGAGGAGGAAACCTATAGTCCCCTCCTATTTCTCTGGCAGGGGACTAATAAAAATGAAAGAAAATGAAAGAAAAAGTGAGCAAGCTCTTGTACCCACACTCCCCCAAAACTCGACAATGCAACATGTAATGAATGGCACAGTGCATTTTAATACACAGTATAATTCAAAAAGGGGCATTACTTGCAAAAAATCATCACATCAAAACTTCTTGCATATAAGGACATTCAAATCTTTGTTTACAAATTTAATTGGGCTGAAGTTTCTAGATAAATAATGGAAGAAAAATTTCATGGTAATATACAAATCTATACATTATGTCTGAAATACCTACAAAGTTTCAGGAAATTTAGTGCAGTAGTTATGCACAGTGTAGCAGAGTGCTTGCTGAAAAAAATGATGTGCAACATGTAGGTGTCACTATGACACTTATCATATACAGAGTTGTTAATGAGTGTAAGTCTATGTCAGTCACCTGCGTGGCGCAGTGGTAGAGCGTCTGCTCTAGAGTCGTGATGTAAGGAGTTAATCCTTATGTCGCAGGTTTCGAATCCCAATGTGGGAAGTGGAGAGCATGCCTTCACATGAGACCGTATAAACCGAGGTCCCATGTCGTAGTAGATGCTGGCACGAAAAAGATCCCTCACTGCTCAATGGCCCTGAGTGCCGAGTATAGGTCAAAATTTGCAGCTCTCCACCGGCAAGTGGTGGCGTCTCCATATGAGTGATAAATTCTCGAGAGGGATGTTAAAACTATAAACAAACAAACAAATTAGTCCATGTCCAACACATGACAATTTACACATTTAAATAATTGATGGAAACAAAATTATGATGTAGTCATATGAATCTGTTTATATACTGTACTTATGAAATTATTTAAGACAAAGCACCAATATGGGGGGGGGGGGGGGGGAGAAGTATCCAAGATTTTATGTGTGTGTTTGTGTTAAATCATTAATATTTTGATCTCAAAATCAATAGGGGTTTTTAAACGGGGTTCGTTCCTGAGCTTTTGGGCAGATTTTTGTGTAGACCTCTATCTAAAAAATTCTGCATAATGTTTTCGTTCTTGGAATAAATTTGGATTCTGCAATGCTAATTTAACTATATTCAATTAAAACCCCATGATTAAATTCCATACTGAAAGCATTAAGTTAGCCCAGGAACTATATTTTGTGGCAGAAGGTTTTATAGAAGAAAATGATCAATTTTTCTCATTCAAAATATTTACAGTATTGTTAAGTTTGGATTCCTATTTTTACATGCAGCCTGCACACAAAGTTATTTTGAGCAGTGAAATGTTTTAGGCTGGTCCTAAATAATATATTAAATTAACTGTCATGAATTCTGTCATCATATTGGACAAACATAACAAATATATTATGAAAGTCCTGGAGAAAAAATAGCCCATTTTAGGCTAAAAATTAGCGCTATTTTAGTTTTATCTAAAAATTAACATCACAGACCCCCACTTTTAATTTTATTTTCTGAATAAACAAGATAATTTTAACCATTCTGCTTAAACTCAGAAAAATGTCCTTACTTTCAAATGATTTTATTGCTTGTAAAATTTTAATACCAGAAAAATGAAATTTTTTGAGTGTACAAAGGTCAAATCATTGACTATGCAAAGTAATTTGAAACTTTTTTTGATGTCACAAATTTTCAAGAGACTATTCAAGATGAAAAAAGACTGTATTTGTTCCCATAATTTATTTGGATAAAAAATATTAGAGGAAAAACTTGATTTATGTGTTAGACGTAATTACAGTGCAAAAAGGACATACTAAATGCTCCGTAGCGCCGAAAGAAGTGCATTGACCCCCATTTTTGGTTTTGATTTTTAATTAAGCTATGTGTCTAGATTTCAAAAATATACTTGATAAAAAGTTCTCAATACTTTTGATAACAGGATCCAACCTCCTTAAGGTCATAAAATATTTCACATAAAACTTCATTACAAAAGCTGATTCGTGGACTTCCTTATTACCTAGCTGGAAAGTTTCTTCAATAATAGGCAAAACTCTTAGGGCAAAAATAATGGAATCGGAATTTCCTGGTAATATGCACATCTACACATTGTGTACTAAGATCTGTTTGACCAAATTCTGTGCAGCGGTTTAAGAGGAGTTGCGCTAACAAATTTCATCTCTATATTGAAGATATGGCCAAAAATCTAAGTTGAAAAGTGATGAAATTCCTAGAAAAATAATGGAATCAGAATTTCCTGGTAATATGCACATCTACACATTGTGCACTAAATATCTGCAAAGTTTGATCAAATTCTGTGCAGCGGTTTAAGAGGAGTTGCGCTAACAAACTTCATCTCTATATTCAAGATATAGCCAAAAATCTAAGTTGAAAAGTGCCGAAATTCCCAGAAAAATAATGTAATCAGAATTTCCTGGTAATATGCACATCTACACATTGTGTACTAAGATCTGCAAAGTTTGACCAAATTCTGTGCAGCGGTTTAAGAGGAGTTGCACTAACAAATTTCATCTCTGTAATCAAGATATGGCCAAAAATCTAAGTTGAAAAGTGCATAGACATGCTGATTCCAATATAAATGTACCCCCTAAACTTGTGGGGAATATAATAAGTTTCTGACATCATGTCCTCAGAATAGCACCTAGCTGGCTTAAAAATTGTAAACAAACCAAAATATCTCCCATTTCAATACATATATGTATGAATAATTTACATGATTTATGCTTAAAATTCATCTTAATACATATCATTGTAGACTTCAGATATTACTTTCATTCTATACCTAAGAGGTATTACCAAAATATCAGCAGTTTTTTATTGCTAAGACATTCAGCGATGGAGGTGTGAGTCCAGGGATATGCCCTTCTGGAAATCTGCATCCTTGGTGCTAATGGGGGTTATTTCTAGAACTATCATAAATCAATACTAGATATCATTGAGATGGTGGCCATCTCAAAGGGCCCCGCTTTCATCAATGAAATGAAAATATAAGGTATCTGAAAGGGTTTATTTTGAAGAGGAACATTTGTGTACTATTAAGGGATGTGTTGTTTGAGTCTAAAGGGCTTCTATGTTATCCTTGTTCTAATAAAAAATGGCAAGAAAATTACGAGTGCTCAATACCTCCTATCAAAAAATGGCACAAAAATCACGAATGCTGCATATCCTCTATGAAAATTGTTGCATATCATCTATCAGAAATATGGATGGAAATCACAATTGTTCCGTACCCTAAGTCAATTGGTAAGGTTTGAGGCTGACTGGACTTAAGGGAAAGAAATTATGCACCGAACAAAGATTTTAAACAGAGAGGCTATTTTTGAAATTGATCCTTGACCTAGAAACTTCGTTCAAGGTCACTGCACATCCATTGACCAGTGGCACCCTATGTGAAGTATGGTTCATATTGGAGAGAAGATATGCTCCGGACAAGGATTTTTCATATAATTCTGCTATGACCTTGACCTTTACCCAAAGACACTCTGTGGTGAAGTATAAGCCACAATGTGCCAAGGAGAGAGAAAATATGCTCTGGACAAGAATTTGAATAGAGAGACTATTTTTGACCTCGACTCTTGACCTAAAAACTTTGTTCAAGGTCACTGCACATCCATTGACAGTGTGAGCCACATTGGACCAAGAGGAGAGAAGATATGCTCCGGACAAGGATTTTCCATATAATTCTGCTATGACCTTGACCTTAGACCTAGAAACATGGTTCAAGGTCACTGCACACCCTTTACCCAAAGACACTCTGTGAGTGAAGTATGAGCCAGATTGGGCCAAGGAAAGAGATCTCGGACGGACGGATGGACAGACTGATCACTATAGGGCACCCGCAGAGCTGGGCCCTAATAATTTAAATGTTACATGTCTGTTAACCAGGAAATTTCTCATAACTAAAAGGGAATTTTTGACATACTTTTAAAGGGGAAAGGTACCTTTTACTGATAGTTAAAACAGCATTGATAAATCTCTGAAACAGTAGATATAAATGCTGGACAAAGTTTGATAAGAAAATCTCACTTGAGATTCTGGCAGCTAATAAAAGGACAGATGCCAGACAAAATACTCATATGTGTCCTATATCTGTAAATCTTAAGAAATATTTATAAAATGGTACATACTCTGGCTCCAAAAAAAAAATTTTGGAAAAGACCATAAACAGTTCTTGCAAGTGTGCTTCTCTAACTGGTTTTGCTAACCAACTTTCAGTCATGCTTGAATTCATTATATCTAGAAACTTTTTGTAGTAGTTGAGGAAACTTCGCACATTGTGAGACCAAGCAAAGAATAACCTGAAACAAAAGAAAAATAAATATCTGATGTAAAAATATATTTTCATTGAAAAAAAAATTGCATGTTTTCCTATTAAATAATATATATTAAATAAAATATAAATTCCTAACAAGAGGCCCAAGGGCCTTAAGGTCACCTAAGTATAATACAAAACTATAGAAGATCCCTAAAATTATATAATGTAAGAAAATAATCTGATAAAGCTATGGTGACCACAAGCATGAGCAAGTGGGCTTATCAGGAATCAACAAAATAATTAGTCTTTTACTTAGTACTTAACAGATCTTAAATTACATCAATTAACTTTGCCTGTACTTCCCCCTGTGAATTTGTCACTACCATCACACAGACTAAATAAAAAACATTGCTGAGCACCATTAATAGCACTATCTCATTCCCTAATATAAAAAGATAATGGAATTTTGTCTCATTTTCTTATGATCCATTTTTTTTTATTAGTCTATCTACCTGACCATTAAAGACAATGAAGGTACATGTAACATGAAAATTCTTGTTCAAGTCTTTTACCTGACTTTTCAATTGCTTTTAAGTTATTTACAGTGATTCATTATCATAGGTGAATAATAATCTCTCAGCAGAATACAAATTAATATAAAGGCCCTGCCTAGTGCCACAGCACTTGACTAACTGTGGTCTAGAATTTCAAAAATCTAGTATAATACCTTTGCTTATTACAACTTTGTTTGCTCTTTGCTCTCTCCTGGAGCAGAAAGGAAGATTATCAAAGAAATAATGCATTTTCAGATTTAACACAACTCCACCCTATTACCAGATTGTAGATCCCCTGATCCAGATGCCACAATCATGACAATGTTCATAATTTTGGAAGAGGCACATTTGCTTATAATAACTATGCACTTATTTTTTCAGCATGTTCAGATACCAAAGTTATTCAGGGATTTATCAGCCTATTTTGGGAAACGCCATTTTTGGGGAATTGGGAAAAAATTATCGGCTATTTGATGAAATTGGGAAAAATAAAAAAATCTTGCTTACATCATGTATTCATATGTAATTCAATGTAATTCATTTAACATTTCAGCATGAACTCTAATTTGGGCAACCAAACAGACAAATTAATAATCCAACTTCATCATACAAGATCAATTATCAGAATAATAGACTTAAAAAACACTAAATATGGCTTCATTGAGTATAAAGTATTTATATAACTTAAGGTAGTACATGTGTATATGAGATTCCAATTTAGGTCATTTAAGAATTTATCTGTTTCTGGATGTTATAAACCTCCTGCAGTTTAAAAATTATACTAAGTTCCATTTTAATTTGTAAAAATCCATTGAAAATATATTTTTCTATCTGAAATAATGCCTACAGTTCTTACCATTCACTCATAGATCAATTGAGTAGGTTGAAATAACTTAATAAATCTACATAATAACACAATATCTCCATTTTCAGAAAAACAGAGGAAATTCGGAGTAAAAGTCGGCGATGTTTTACAGTGTTTTTTAAAACATGTTATGGCTGTAGGTTTGCTAAATGAGTTAAACAGAGGAAAATTACAGATAATCTGACAATTTTACTTTGTGTTAATTAAATATAAAAGCATTGTTCACCAATTGGGAAAAAATACTGCCAAATTGGGAAAAATTGAACTTATTTTCAATTGGGAATGGGGCCGAATTTCGGCCCCTGAGAGGGTACTGATAAATCCCTGTTATTTGATACCCAAGAGCTGAGAAGATTTTTAAAGAATAAAATGCATTTTCACTATAAAATCAAAAGAGCCTGACCCTAACACCACAGTTCCTAACCCATGGGCCAAGAAATGCTAACGCTTTTATTCATAAATCTACCGCATTTCTATAACAGTTTTGTCAAAACCATTTTTGGTTCGCTTGAGTAGCCATTCTTGAAGCCAACTCTCATAAAATCTTGTTAGATATCGCATGATTTGACCTGGGAGCATACAAACACTTTTTTGTACCAATGTTTACAAGATTTCAAGCACGTATTTGACAACAACAAATGCACAAATCTCCGTGATTACACTGGTCATGATAAATTTTATCGACATTCCCGCTAAGAATAAAGTGCCCCGCCACAGCATGATACGACCGTCAAATATTGTTCAATTATCATAAACAGTTTAGAGTGCAAGAAAATCATGTACTCAACCAAATACAAGGATTTCCATGATTTTTCCATTCCTTATAATAATTTTTTTTATACATCTCCTGTGGTGTAGGCATTTATTATAACAAATATTACATTATACATCCTCAACTGGTTGTGTTAGAGCTTGACAAATGCCCATCTGCCCCCCCCCCCCCCCCCATCTTTCATATTTGTGAGATATGATGCTCTGAAATTTGTTAGTTGATATTTTCAAAAAATTAAATAAAAATATACTAAACAATATCAATTTAGTCTTAACAACTTAATCTATACCAAATTAATTTTAAAACAAGAGGCCCACGGGCCTTATAGGTCACCTGAGTATCAAGCAACAACTTCGCCACAATGGATTCATGTTTTAAACCAGAGGCCATGAAATTCACAATTTCGAAAGAGGCACACTTGCTCATCATAATTTTACATTTAGTAAGCTTACTTAATACCCAGAAAGAGAGCAGAGGATTATCAAAGAATTAATGCATTTTCACTATGTAATCATTAGAGCCCTGCCCTAACACCAGAACCATGATGCAGGGGCCATAAAATTCACAATTTTGGAAGAGGCATCCTGACATATCATAACAATAATCTTAGTTCATCAGCTTAATACCCAGGAGAAAAGAAGAAGATTTTCAAAGAATTATTGCATTTTTACTATGTAATCATTAGAGCCCCACCCTAACACCAGAACCCCTGACCCAGGGGCCATGAAATTCATAATTTTGGAAGAGGCACCTTTACTCATCATAACTATGCATCAGTTTGTTTGTTAAATACCCAGGATCAAAGAAAAAGATTTTTAAAGAAATAATGCATTATCAATATATATTTAACAGAGCCCCACCCTAACACCAGAACCCCTGACCTAGGGGCCATGAATTTCACAATTTTGGAACAGGCACCCTTACATATCATAACTATACTCTTAGTTCATCGGCTTATTACCCAGGAGAAAAGGAAAAGATTGTCAAAGAATTATTGCATTTTTACTATGTAATCATTAGAGCCCCGCCCTAAAACCAGAACCCCTGACCAGGGGGCCATTAAATTCACAATATAGGAATAGGCACCCTTATTCATCATAACTATGCCTTCAGCTTGTTTGCCCTGGATCAGAGAAGATTTTTAAAAGAAATAATGCATTTTCACTATACATGTATATTCAACAGAACCCTGCCCTAACACCAGAACCCCTGACCCTGGGGCATGAAATTCACAATTTTGGAAGAGGCACCTTTCATCATCATAACTATGTATTTATTTTGTTTTCATAATATCCAAGAGCACAGAAGAAGCTTTTTAAAGAAATAATGCATTATCACTATATATTCAACAGAGCCCCACCCTAACACCAGAACCCCTGACCCTTGGGCCATGAAATTCACAATTTTGGAAGAGGCACTCTTTCTCATCATAACTATGTACTTAGTTCATCGGCTTAATACCCAGGAGCAGAGGAGAAGATTTTTGAATAATTAATGCATTTTCACTATATAATCATTAGATACCCACCCTAACACCAGATCCCCTGACCCAGGGGCCATGAAATTCACAATTTTAGAAGAGACACCTTTCCTCATCATAACTATGCATATTGTTTGTTTCCTAAATACCCAAGAGCAGAGGAGAAGATTTTTTAAGAATAATGCTTTTCACTACATATTCAACAGAGCCCCACCCTAGCACCAGAACCCCTGACCCTGGGGCCATAAATTTCACAATTTAGGTAGAGGGCTCAATGCTTATTACATTCATGCCAAGAGTTTGCCTGCTTGATGCCCAGGAGTAAAGAAAAAGATTTTTAAAGATTGCATTAATTCTGATGGTTTTAGCCCCACCCCTCAGGCCCCAGGGGGGTAGGGGTCATTAATTTCGTAATTTTTACTCCCCTTCACATATAGATGCTATGGGCCAAATTTGGTTGAAATTGGTTCAGTGGTTCCAGAGAAGAAGCTGAAAATGTTCAAATGTTAACGCACTACGGACGACGCACGCTGACGGACGAAAACAGATAGCAATAGGTCCCCTGAGTAAACTCAGGTGACCTAATAAAAGGCTGGACATAAAGACATATGCTATAAATAGACCAGTAGTTCTTCTGTATAATTCCCAAAGGATACAGATAAGAGCTGCTTGATCAGAGATGCTCTAACAAAAGCTAGCCTTCCTACATTGAACTCATTGATTAATCTTTAACTGGATGCATGTCCAATCATTACTCCCAAGAGATGAATGGATCTGCACTATCTGCTGTGTAATAAAAAGGCATATTTATGTCATTCTGAAATTAAATTTGAAAACAAAGATTTTTTTTTAATTTGTTACAAAGATTTATAAAGAGAGAAAAAACTTGTGTAATCTTCATGCAATATTTTTAATAAGGTTCCTGCATGACTCTTAGATACATTAAGGGACTATCTACCATAATTAAAACATTTGTTTTTAAATACTTGACGACATATTTAGATTTAAAATCAGACTTGTTTTAAGCTGTAATTCATATAAGGACATCGGGCATGCTGATTCCACAGTTCCCAAGAGATATAGATAACACCTGCTTGATCAGAGATGCTTTACCAGTTAGCTCCTCACACTAAACTCATTAATTTTCCTCTAATTTGACATGCAATTTTCTGTTATCAAAATTCTCCTTGACCAGTGCTTGATAATTACACCCATGGGAGGGGTGGAATTTCTCTTATAACATTACATTTGTTATAGATTGCTGTAAAGTATATAATGAAAAAAAATAAGTATTTTCTTAACATTTTTCTAATAAGGATACTGCAACACTCTTACATTTTTTGGGATTGTGTAATTTAATAGTAAAAAGACA